GTCATAGTATTTCAAGAATAAAGTCGTTGAATTACGACATTAAAGTGGGATATTACCAAGAAAAGTCGCAATATTATGGCCGAGTGGTTTGCAAATGGAAGGTAGCAACTTTCTCGTGTTAAAATGAAGGACGCTGAAGTGCTGGTAGAGTTATACTTTCAGATCGGTTTCACCAATAAAGAAATACTAAGTCTCCTGGCACATCAGCACTGGATTGTTATAAGTATAAGAATGCTGAAACGGCTGTGCAAGAAACTGTGTTTACTTAGAAAACAGAACCACACGGATTTGGAGGAAATTGTCTCTATCCTTGAAGGAGAACTCGCAGGCAGTGGTCGTCTACAAGGCTATTGGTGGTTACATCTCCGTGCCATTCGAAGAGGGCATGTAGTTTCACAGTCAGAATGATAATCAAAATGATCCCGAAGGCGTGGAACTCTGCTGCGCTCAGCATCTTCATCGTCGCCACTACAGCAGCCAAGGCCCCAACGTGTTATGGCACCCCTACAATTAGCCCACTTCATCCTCCAAATATCGCGAGTTTATTTTTCTAACGTCCCAACATTTTTCTTGAAATATTATGAATTTATTCAAAAAAAATAATACTTTTATGTAAGTACTTACATCTTTATCTTCTTTTTTCTTCCCTCCTCTTTTTCTGTACCCATCTCTCTCCTCCTCTTTTCTACCCCTTCTATTCTCTCCTCTCCTCTTCTCTCCTCTTCTCCTTTCCTTTCCTCTCCCCCTTTTCTCCTCTCCTCTCTTCTTCTCCTCTTTCCCCCTTCTTTCCTCTCCTGTCCTTCACCTTTTCTCTTTCCCCTCTCCTTTAGCACTCCTCTCCTCTCCTTTACCCCCTTCTCTCCTTTACCCTCTTTTCTCCTCTTCTTTACCCCCTTGTCTTCTCTTTTCTTTTCTCCTCTCCTCTCCTCTTCCCCCTTCTTTCCTCTCCTCTCCTCTCCCCCTTTCTTTCCTCTCCTGTCCTCTCCTCTCCTGTCCTCTCCTCTCCAACTGATTGCGGATTGGGCTTTCTTTGGCTTTAAGATAAACCCAGCTGTGAATGTCTAACACCGTCTTGAACCTGGAGGAAATGAGCTCTCGTGAAAAGCACCTGAAGTCAATACCATGTCATATTTTCTTGAAATATTATGATTTTATTCTAAAAAAATATGACTTTTTTTCTCAAAATATTACGACTTTATTCTCAAAGCCAATTATTTGTGTTTTTTTTAATAGTAGCCCTAAAACGCTGTCGTAACTGTGTACTGTTGCTCTTTTTAAAGCGGAATTCCACCAAGTTTTTAAATGTTCTGCATGATTAAATGGTCGAGATGTAAACAAAGTCATTCAGTGTGGTTTGATGTGAAACACGGCATTCTAAAGAAACTTACTGACATTGCGACACCCAGTTCCAATCACCACCACCGTAAAGAATCCGACCTGGTAAATTTCTCTACAATTAAACATTTCACATCAAAGCACTTTGAATGACTTTGTTTACAACTCAGTGAATGAATTTTACAGAAATTTTAAACAACTGAAAGTCAGTTATGTCAGTGGGCAATCAGGGAATTTCCAAAAACGCTTTGTCAAGCTCTGTACAGTCAAGCCAGAAGAATCTGATCTCTATGCAAATGCAAAAAGCATGTCCACTTGAATACAGACCAGCAGACCAAACAGATCAAACCGAGAGAGAGGACTGTGCTAATCTGTGTGTCATGGAGTGTGAGAGAGATTGTGTGAGGTGACGGGGCTGGCAGCGTGTTATCTGCCCTCTGGAGCGGACGCTTGAATTCTCTCAGCACAGAAGCTATCAGGCTCGTCAAGGTGTCTCAAATAACAGAATAAACGACACACATACGCATACAAACATACAGACATACTTATTGGTCTGGAGCCAGACTCAGCAGACAACCAGCTATTAATCGTAATAAGGCTTTTCTGCTGTTAGTATGTCAAGGCGGTAGATTGTGAGTGGAAAACGACTTAACAGGAGCCCTTTCATGCTGCAGAAAGAAAAAATAAGAATGTTTTCATAAGCGCTGCAGAACTACAGGATCCTCTCTTGTGTACACGGGTCATTACACCTTCATTTAAACATTCAACATTTTTTATTATGACTATAAATCACAATTAATTGCCTGACATAGAGCTCAGACTGTTTCTTCAGGTCAGACGTGGGGTTCCAAAAGCAATAATAAGGTCCTGCCGGGAAAGCCACTACCCTTCACTAATGAAAACTCAGGCTAGCATTGGACGCCAAACCCTGCTCATGGAGAGACATCAGTCAGGAAGAACTCAGCTGCAGCTTCAGACTGATGGACCACAGACACACGCTAAATTGTCTCTTCCACTTACTTTCACTCTCGTAGACCTATTTCACACTGGGTTATGGAAGCAGAGCTTGTCTCGTCTCTTGTATTTACTCCAGCTGCTCTCCGGAGCATCTTCCAAGCCACCAATGCATAAATATATATTACAATCACATTACCATGGCTTACTTAAAGGGAAATTCCACTGATTCTTCAAAATTCCTGCATAATTAAATTGTCAAGATGTAAACAAAGTCATTCAGAGTGGTTTGACAAGAAACACGTCATTCTGAAGCAACTTACTGAGTCAGAACTTTTCACAGTGGAGCTGATAGGAACCAGACGTTAGAAGAATTTAATGTCTCTAAACGCTACCTCACAGAAGGTTTTTATACAAAAGTGGTTACGAATACTGTGTCTGGTGACTGAGGCACTGTTTTATGATAGTTTTGTGACAAGGCCTTGGCCTAAAATGCACTTTTTTGAAAAATGCTTTCATGTATATAAGGTGTTAATGTAATACTTTAGTACCTAAAGAAAATCTAATGTTTAGATTTTACCATAATCAAAGGTGGAGAAGACATGTGTAGCTCCACTATTTATTTTGGACAGAAAATAAAATGGCTATATTTGTATATTTGAGTAGCAGACACCTGGTTCTAATAATCACTACTGTAAATTCATCAGTCAGTAAGTTTCTCTACAATGCACCACTTTACATAGAACACTCTGAAAGACTTTGTTTACATCTCAACCATTGAATTATGCAGAAATTGAGAAAAATCTGTGGAATTACCCTACATGTTTGAGTTATCTGTCACATGGTCTATATTAGTAGTGGGCGCTATGAATAAAAGTTTATATGACGATATGATATGATTTCGGTATATATCACAGTATAGTGTATTTATATATGTAAATCAAATAAAACCATTTTGGATGCTTAAGTAAACCTCTTTTGTAGATTAACAATGACATATTATTCTGGATGTCCCTTCACTTTTAATAAGAGCCATACTTAACAAGTGAAGTAAATCTAAAATTGATTTAAGCTATCGAAATATTCTACATAGAAGTTGTATGTAGGGAGCTACCCATAAATGTGTGCTACGGTAGAACATTTTGACAAAGCAGCACTATTTGTCAGAACACCAGCAAGTCTCCATGTTAGGCTAATGGCTAATGTCTAACCCCAAAACCCTAGGAGAGGCTATTTTTCCATTTCCCCCTTAACTCATTACAATCTGATGTCTGCTCCTTTGACAATAAACTGGACTAACTTACCTCAGGGTGCAACTCACTACACGAGAGGTGAGAGAATCTGCGTGTTTTGCCTGCATTTACTCGCATACCAGTGTAACGGTAATGACAAAACTAATACCTTAAAAATAATTCTAACCGCTATACCGGATGAACAGAAATATTGCTCACTACTAGACTATGTATGAGTGACAGATAAGCACAAGCACTGTGACAAGAACTAGATTCTATGAGACCTACCTTCCTTTCGGAAATTATGGGTGCAAAGAATGAAAAAGGAGAATACATTCATTTGTAGTGTTCAGTGATGATCTGAGGGCAAACTGAGAAACATTCAGAGTAACAGCCCACAAACTCAACATGTTTTTAAGACATACACCTACCATAGACCTAGTTTCTCTTTCTCACTGAATTAGCAACCTTCATGAGTGGCATATTTTACAGGCGGAAAGTGCTTTGGCCTCCGGCACCGAGAGCAAGAAACACTGTAATGGTGGTTCCAGGTATGTATTTAAATCATTACAGTAGGAGTAAAAAGCTCTGTAAGTCCTTAATATGAAGACTTCACTCGTCCTGACAACAACACAAAACAACTTCTGCCTAAATTGTCTGAGCCAAGACATTAACTTGTCAAAAACACAGGGGAGCAAAGAGAGAGGCCCATCCGTGGAAAAAACAAGGCTGTCATTTAAGACATGAGGGGAACAGAGAGCTTTGGTTTTAGTCACTTGTGAAACACAAGTGGGTTCTGATGGTTTTGATTACATGAGAGAACCCAAAATGAAGCCTCTGAGCGGAAAGTGCTTTTGAAAAGGTATAAAAGGCTTGGGAGAATGAAGAACATGTGAAATCAAATGTAAAGGCAAGGACAGTGATCATCTAGACAGGAATAATTATATGGCTGCGAGCAAGATTACCCTCCATGGTAATTTCACACACAAAGGCCTTTTCATAGTATGTGGGAGGACAGACTGTTACACAATGCAAAGAAATGAGAAAAGGAGCTGGGCGGCACATCTAGTCCATTTTTAAACGTGACGAGAGGGCACGTAATGCTATTTGAGAAAGCTCTATGTGCTGAGGTTTATGTAAGACAGAGTAAAAATGACAACAACAAAAACAAGTCGCCACGATGAAAACGAGTGGTTTGACTTATTTCTTAGAAACAGACTAGATCCTGTGCATCCTATTTTCAATATATTGCCCTGAACACATTTCAAGTGGACTTCATATATATTTTATATACCAAAAACATAAAATCATCACAAATGATTTTGACATGACCGTTTTAGAACTTGTCTTTATCCCTTAGATTTATACATCAGTTTTTTGTGAGTGTGAAAGTGTGCCGATGTTTACATTACAAGGAAAATTTTCCATGAAACGATCCTTCTAAAGGAAACCTGTAGAAAACTATATATATCCACTCACACTTGATGTTGAAGGAGGCATTGGCGGAGGTGGCCACCTCTCCACTGGCCACACTGGTGGCCACACACTGGAAGTTGCCTGTGTCCAGGAGCCGGTCCACGGCGGTGAACTTGAGGTTGCCGCCTTCTAGGAAGCGGCGCTCAGAGTCCGTCACAGGCTGACCGTTCTGCAGCCAAGAGTAACTCACACCCGCAGCCTCGCTGACCTCACAGCGCAGCATTGCACTGCGGCCGTGCAGAGCATCCTGAGACTTAGGCTCTTTGGAAAACTGCAGAGACGAGGTCTGCACACACAGCACTGAGAGAGAGAGAGAGAGAGAGAGAGAGAGAGAGAGAGAGAGAGAGAGAGAGAGAGAGAGAGAAAGCATAATCAAAAACAATTAAACACTTACAGTTTGATTTATTTACTCAGCAATCTGTCTCTGCTGCTACAGACATACTTTGGGGAAATAAAGCGATAAAGGCACAAAGCACCAAGAGGAGTGTAATCAACATTACAGTTTAGAGAGACTACCATGTCAACGATCTTAAAGACAACCATTAACCAAAGTTTGATTTAAAAAAAAATCCTGGGGAATGTTTCAAATGGAGTGGAAAGCTGGAAAAACTCAACCTCTCTGCCTGATTAGGACTGTGTGCCTGCTTCAGATTGCACGGTGAGTGACAGTGGTGTAGCCACAGCAATGTAAACAAACTTAAATGGCAGACTTTTTGGTTTTAAAGCTTTTATTTTCTGGCAGAAGTTGTACTTTGAGCTTGTGTGAGATACTGGATTACGAAGGTAAACTTATGTTCAACCTGAAGTGACTGCCGTGACCACAGAGAAGAGTAACTAACGCAAGTAAGAATTTGGCCTATCATCCGAACACTGTTAGCATTTGCTAAAGTATAGGCTGTGGCTCAGTTTCTATGATAGATGATTTTCAGCCAAGTCAGATTAACCAACAAATTACTCAGAAAATACTTAATTTGTACTTGCACACTCTGCCCAGCAGCTCAGATGTCCAGTGACAGAAGAGAGAGAGGGGAGGCTTAGAAAGAGAGAGAGAGAAAGAGAGTGAGATAGAGAGAGAGAGATTGAGAGAGAGAGAGAGAGAACATCTTTATAAACAAGCCGCTCTCTAAAGCCCAGTTTTAATTGTTTGAAATTGTGGAACTGATCTTTTGTACAGTCGGCACTGCGTGAGAACTAGACCTTTTTTCTTTGTCTAGTTCGTATGCACACTCACTGAAGCTGGTCAGTTACTAAGAGACTCTGGTATGTGTGGAGTGGTGCTGCGTTAAGGAGCCACTGACAAAAAATCTGTCCTAATTCTGATTGGTCTGATGTCAGTATCTTCTGGGATAGTCCCATGGAACTCAAATCCAACCAAGGAAATGCAAAAAGGCCAGAATCCCTCGAAATAACCAACACTGTTGTTACTTTGACAGTTAATAGTACATTCTTGCAAGAACCTTTAGCTAAAATCATACACTGACTAACAAAATAATCGGATAGTAGTGTCCTACACTTGCCAACAAACAGAGCCTCTTACATATTGTAGCTGTTAACTGAGAATCTAATAACACACAGAAGTGATGCAGAACATTTTTTTTACTATTTTAAGATTACATAGCGTTCTACAATGCTTCCTTTCCTTCCCCACATTTCAGTAATGGAAACCCTGAATCTCTGTCAGATCTGCTCCACAGTCTCTCTGAAACATCCCTCCCATCGGCACACACACACAGAGACACACACACAGACACACACACACAGACACACACACAGACACACACACACAGACAGACACTCTCTCATGGTCCATCAGCTGTAAGACATGTATGTGGGGACACACACGATCTCACACACGTCGTGCTGTCTTTGTGTTTTGAGCTGTAAGGCTGGCACTGCGGTGCTACAGGCTTTTACCCAGCAGCCTCTGAGTGCTGTTTGAGTTGATTCAGTGGCTCAGCATGTCCTAAACCTCAGTGTGCAAAAGGCTGATTGATGTGATGCTCCATTATTGCATTTGCAATGACTAAAATAAAAACAATAATTTATGTAAATATTTTTGTCATATTTTATTACAATATTTATTCTATTGGTGAGGTATATCTTATTTTCAAGCAACTGCAATTTTAAAGGAACAGTCTGATGAAAAATCAAAATGACATGATTTTCACATACCTCAAATGCAGTCAGTCAGTCAATCAGCCAATGTTTTGCTTCTTTAGTTTAGAAAAGGAGCTGCTAGGCTAATGATGCTAACAATATATATATATATATATATATATATATATATATATATATATATATATATATATATATATATATACACACACACACATATATATATGCCCAAAACAAGCCTTAGGTATTAATATGCTAATGCTATGCTATACGTATCTGTGTAGTGACATTTTACAACATGGCCTGCACTCCAGCCTCCCACAGTTTGAAGGCGGAATAGCACTGGAAAGCAGGACGTTGATGACAACATTATACAGATGATAATGTAGTAAATAAGTAAATACAGACGTAAATGTGTAAATAAGGTTCATGCCATTTTACTAAAGTCTAAAGTCATTTTTGTAGCTTATCGACCAAATTTGAAGCAAATATAGGAAGATTTTGGCATTTTCCTTTGCAATCCGTTAGGGTGATTACTGACTTCCAGTGTTTGTTAGCATTGTTAGCCTAGTAGCTCCAGATCTAAAGAAACCAAATTTGGACACCAAGCATTTGGGTTAAGTGGAAAATCACGTAAATTTGTTTTTTTGCCCAACTATTCCTTTAAGGAAGGACTATCACAAATCTGCTAAAATAGACTGATATACATACACCTTATGAAACCGAAGGTTGCAGGTTATCACGTTCCCACTACGTAATTATGATAGGTTATATTTTGTCTGCAAAACTGATATCCACCTAGTGTGATGCCTTTCTGTGAATATGAAATAAGCAGTATTTTGAACATTATTACTGAAAAGGGCCCTTTTTAATCCAGGTAGTACAGAATCCTGCTGAAGAAACACCATGGACTAGCAGGAATTCAGAGCTGGTTTATGATGGTCTAGGGCTGCTAGTGCTGATTTAGCTGGTCACCCAGCATGGTCGTGATGATTGACCAGCATACCAGCATCTAAAAGACAACATATGCTGGTTTTTATGATTTACTTTAACTCAAATATTTATTATTTTATTAAAATATTTTCAAGCAATATTAGAAATGAATCAAATTTCACTGTCCTTCGGTGTGACGCAATTAAACGTGTAGGTGGTTGTGTATTTATGCTTGTGTTCTGTAATTTTGCTCTTCAAAGCAAAGACTGTACATCATCAAATTAAGCTGCTCAAAATCATATTTACGTACTTAAAATACAATCAAATTAATGACAAATTCTTTACAAACTTTAATATCAAATGTCCCAAATATCCAAAGCCATGCATATAAGACTGAAGGCATACATACAGGCACACCTGCACACATTGTTCCAACTGCAAAGCTGCACTATTCAGTTTTTTATGCTAGACTCTAATATAGTAAAAGTTTATTTTATTATTATTTAATATTCACATTCCAAATACACCAGTATTTTTTATTATTTTTTGTTATTTTATAATGATCCATCTTTGCAAATATTTGCAAAATAAATTACTGTCTTTGGTGCTCTCTCTCTCTCTCTCTCTCTCTCTCTCTCTCACACACACACACACACACACACACACACACACACACACACACACACACACACACACAAACAAACACACTATCACACGTAAACAGGCTAACAGTACCTAGTAAGCAGTGTCAGGTTGTTTTCCTTCACGGGAAATATGAGCTGTTTGGTACACATCCACAGAACAGACACACAACACAGTCCGCATCAACCTGATCCTAAACCAGAATCTACAGGTATTACGACACAGTCTTGTGTCCATAAACTGCTTTTTGTCAATAATGTATCACAGTGAAAGTGCAGGCTGCTGTAGAGAATATCAACTGGAAATTAAATATTAGCAAAAACACAATTCCACAGACATTTCACGTTTTCATATCAGTTTCAATTTTCTTTGCTAAATAACCTTTGAACCAAGAACTCGTTTGAAAAGCAAATCAGTACAACACTGCTGCAAACATGCCAACTCAGGCTGTCAGTGGTTATTTTTAGTTGTTACATAAAGGAAACATTTTGCCTACAGTATCACACACAAGAAATTACTGTTTTAAAATGATTCTACAATGATGCAAATATTCTACACTTTTTAGGAAGCTGTAAAAAATGTATGCTTTCATGCATGACGATGAACAGAGCTGTAGATGTTTCCATAATAAGTAACTGTACAGCACTGATATTTATAAAAGTACTGTCGTTCAGAATGCCTTATATTCAAAAAGCAGTGATCAAAACTTGCTATTTTTTTTATTATATCATAACTTCTGGCTGTCCCCAAAATACTTTACATTATAAATAAAGCATCAGTTATATGTTTTGGTGTCTATTTTAGCTGTGTAAGTTACTACTGAATAACAATGATGAGTGATTGCACAGAGATTTGCAGAGACTTTTCTTGATAGATTAATTATTTTGCAAACACTAAATGCATTTGGTGCTGTTCAGAATGCACTACCGTTGTGTAGTTCAAAGGAGGGGTGAAATCTCTGAATAATGAAAATATAGATGATATTTCAAATATCACAAGAATATAATTAACACACCAACACTAGAATTTCCATTTCACTATGGTGTGTGTGTTATGGAGAGAGAGAGAGAGAGAGAGAGAGAGAGGAGAGAGAGGAGAGAGAGAGAGAGAGATGAAAGGCAGAGTGATTCCCCATGAGGCTCTGAGGCTCAGTAGCGCGCAGGTGGCTGTAATAGCAGGGTTGCTATATAAAGGCTGGTTCTTCTATCTGCTAGATAAGGCGTCAGAGTGGTGGTCAAAGCACCAACCCCCACTGGACCCAACAATATTTTATCAGTACTGCTCCAAACCAGCCACAGCAACAGCAACAGTACTATATGAAAAAGTGATTCATTCAATTCCATACAAATGAATCAAGTAAATACAAACTGTCATTTACAATAATATACATCAACAAAAGTTTGTGTTACAGTTTAATTTACTTTTGTACTGTATATTGTTCAAGTGGAAATTAATCATGTAAATTCATTGCATCACCTTTTCAGTCTATATGGCCCACACATACTGTAACGCCCATAATTAAAAAGACATTATAAAAAAACATCACTGATATAATCCTGCTGTTTTGTACAGACCACCTCTTTGTAAAGTTTGAATAAATTCCATAAATG